AACCTATCGCCTAGGGATGCTTGATAAAAACGCATGTGGGAATCTAGTAATTCAAAGTCTAGGGGAATATAGAATCGGTAACCGAATGCGTCGGCAACGGCCTGATCTTTTACGATGGTACTATCACCACTAGAAGCATCTACGCGCAGTCTCAATGTGTTCCACTTACAAATACCTTGGTACTGTAAGATTTTCGCTCTTTATCCGTTCTCCAGAGATCCATGTAACAATAGTATACATCACTATCGTCAATACTCAAAACCTCATTAGCGCTAATTTTAATCGAGATTTTCTTAACGATAGCATGACCTATGTTCTGAACGGGCTCCCTGTTAACGTCGGTAGAAGTCAAAATAATCGTAAATGCTAGTCGGACAGTTCCCGGAACTAACACATTGTGTGCGCCGAGATTAGGAAAGCGAACCAGAAGCGTTTGATTCTGATCTATGGTACTAGGGTTATTAGTTATAGTAACAGACTGACGAATTGCTTTGACCCCTAATGGATCCCGAAGTCTATGTTGTGGGTTTAACTTGCGTCCGTATTGCGAAGACATTGTTATATTGAAATTATATAACCATATGTTTAATATAAAAATGACTGATTTTGATCTAGATGATTATGATAACCCGAATACAATCGAAGAGGGTACTGATGAAACCAGCTTAACGAATCTTAACGATGAACTTTTGAAACCAGCCGTTAATGATTATTACGATGCCTTAAAAGATGATAAAAAATATGTTAGCCTAACTGGTCGTGACTATTCAAAGTTTACGATAGATAGTAAAGGAATATTGCAACTGAGTGGCTCTCCGGATATTCATCTTAGGCATTCTCGTACTCGTAAGCCCCTAGCCTTGTCTACGATAACTAGTAAACACGGCATCAACATTGTTCGTAATGAATTAGGTTTTGTAGACTACTCACGAGAAAATCTTTCTGCGAAGACTACTAAGGTTCTTCAGACTGTGCGTGCTGAACTCGGTAACATAGATAAAGATAATTTGGAAGAAAGCTCGAAGCTGGCTTCGGACGGACTCGGAAAAATCTTGGATACCTACTACCATAATTCCACGGCCAGTGTACCACCCTCGGAGTTCAGTATTAGAGAATTACGAGGTTTTGATAAGGCAATGCAAACAATGCGGGGTGAACTCATAAATAATATAGCCAAGCTATCTGAACTAGACAAGCATATAGCTTATGAGAAAACAAACTTGAACAGGCGGGCGATGAATTCAGTAGACGCCGCGTTGCCTTGATGCCGTTGATGATTATTACAATTCCTTTAAAGATGATAGTCCTATTGGTCGTGATTATTCAAAGTTTACGGTAGATAGTAAAGGAATATTGCGAATGCGTGGCGCTCCGGATATTGATCTTATGCATTCTCGTACTTGTAAGCCCTAAGGCTTGTCTACGTTAACCGCTAAACACGGCATCAGCATTGTTCGTGATGAATTAGGTTTTGTGGACTACTCACGACGAGCAAAACTTTCCGAGAAGACTACTAAGGTTCTTAGGACTGTGCGTACTGAACTCGTTAACATAGATCATTTGGATAATTCCACATTACAGGTACCATCCTCGGAGTTCAGTATTAGGGAATTACGAGGTCTTGACAAGGCAATGCGAACAATGCGGGGAGAACTCATCAATAATATAGCCAAGCTATCCGAAATCGACAAGCATATAGCTTACGAGAAAACAAAACTTGAACAGGCAGACGATGAGATCAGTAGACGCCGCGTTGCCTTGATGCCGTTGATGATTATTACAATTCCTTTAAAGATGATAGTCCTATTGGTCGTGAGTATTCAAAGTTTACGGTAGATAGTAAAGGAATATTGCGAATGCGTGGCGCTCCGGATATTGATCTTATGCATTCTCGTACTCGTAAGCCCTAAGGCTTGTCTACGTTAACCGCTAAACACGGCATCAGCATTGTTCGTGATGAATTAGGTTTTGTGGACTACTCACAACTCACTACTACTACACTACTCACAAAATCATGAGTAAACCAGCCGCGACTCCACCTAATACAAGCGCTGTTTTTTCATCGATATGTTGTTGATTTTTAGCCGCAATATGCGGTGGTACTTGTGGTTGTGCGGCAGTAGATGGCTGTGAAACATGTGGTGTTTGTGGCTTGACTATTCCCGTTTCGCCTGTGTTTGTTTGCGTTATTAATTCGACGTTAATATCTGAATTTATGCCTGGTTTTTGTTGATCGGTAGCAATAACAATTTTGTTATTATAGCCTATCACTTGACCGATCTTAAGTTCCATATTACTCGGAGACATGTATAGTCCCGGCGCATAAACGTAATAAACGCATAAACTGTAATACATCTTGATAACGCTTTATAGACGATGGTATGTCAACTAGTGAATTAAAGGCGTCCTCCACGTTTGCGACAAACTGTTTTTGTGCATCGAGCGCCGTCCCAGAACCAATAATGGACGTTCGTGTTTGCGATTGTGCACCGAGAATTGCCCATACATAAGTTCTTATCGATTCATTAACTCTTACAAATCCTGGGTTAGTAAGATTATTTTCCATTTTATCATTAAGAAATTCATTCCAAGCGTTTGTTGTATCGTTTGGATGCACAAACTTTGTTACAATATAAGGCAAGCCACTCTTAAAACTCATAATATCTTCCCTCTAATCACTATTAAAAAGTTGCCAGTTGTTATCCCAATTATGAGTTTTTAAGAAAATATTATGTAATCTTACATAAAGTTTGCTTCTATGCGACCACCTAAGTGGATCTACTGGGTTTTTTTACCATTTCTTTAGCTAAAATATCACTTTCTTCTTTAACAGTTTTTTGTCCACTGTGTGGAACACCTAGACCATGGCTAGCTCCTTTAATACGCCAATCTTTACTCGTACAAACATTAAATTCCTGACAAATACGTTCGAATGCCCACCTATTATACGTATTATTTGTGGAATTCCACGGTGCATTCATTTCTTTAAGTATACGTCTACTCTGATAGTACACGTATTTAGTTCAAATCCTGTAGTAGCAGTATAGGTATATAAATCTGGCTCCAGTGGAGTTGCGGCAGAACCCCCATTACCTATACTACTTCTGTAGTTCTAAATCATTGTCCATTGGGCAGTCGGTAGGATCTGAAGGGGTCTGTAGATTTCTGGTTGAGCCATTTCTGGTGGTATCCCCTTAGGAGACTGCCTCTGCCTCTGCCTCTGCTTCATCCTCTCTGTGAAGTGGGATGATCATCTTTGGAGTTCCTGTACCTGGGTTGATACGATCTGTTCTCCCATGTAGAGGCTCGAAAAGAATCCCGGCCAGGATTCACATGACGAGATCTAGGATTCTGTTGTTGATGCTGAATATCTGCAGGCCGTCTCTGTATCATGGATGCCAACGAGATGGTGTTTTCTTGAAACTTTTGGCTAGTTGACGATGCAATGGCTTCCTTCACTGACTTCAGTCTTCCGTTGAATATCTGCGACGCTGTAAGTAGGTTGTGACAGCATGGATCTTCTTAACGGCTCTGGGATCATATGATGAACTTGCTGTAGTAGATGTTTTCTTTGCATGAGCAGGAACTGTGCTGACATCCAAACTTGTGCTGATTGAAGATCTTCCTGCATCTTCAGTATGTGGTCCAGTGAGCTGTGGATGAATCCGGTCTGCTGGTGTTTAAGAAATTGCCTTCTGCCTTAGACATTCCGGCTGACCTGTCCCTCTTTGGGACTCATGTGTGAAAGTAGGGTACACATATCTATTGCAAGTTTATCTTTTCTGTTCAATTTTAGCAATGGGTGGGCTGGATCTAAGCTGTTTTTGTTTAAGCATGCCTTGAGCCCGGAGGGATTTTTTCTTTGTTTTTATTTCCGGAAAACATGAATCTGTCCTGAAAACGGTTAGGGACATTTTGTGCGGATTGACTTAGGTCATGTTGGCTGTTTACTTGGCAACTTTCGAGTTTTTCGTGAGAGTTGGGCGGACTCTCAACAAATGTTATTTCTGGACATAGGTCTGCTATCTCCATTTCCAAGTTCATATTTGTCAGTCCCAAGGGCCTGGGTGATTGACGACCATGCAATTTAAGCTGGTGAGCGGCCCAAGCTTGGTGGGCGCGGAGGGTTGTGTAAAGTAGGGGACCTGTGACACAACTGAACTCGTGCTGTTTGTTGTAGAGTATATACCTGTACATGTAATCCGGTTTTATCTCAAAATGATATTCTTCCTACCCTTCTCCAACTTGGTTTGTATCTATATCCTTCTCCAACTTATTTTACATCAATACCCTTCTCCAACCTATTTTACATCAATACCCTTCTCCAACTTATTTTACATCTATACACTTTTCCAACTTATTTTACATCAATACCCTTCTCCAACTTATTTTACATCAATACCCTTCTCCAACTTATTTTACATCAATACACTTTTCCAACTTATTTTACATCAATACCCTTCTCCAACTTATTTTACATCAATACCCTTCTCCAACTTATTTTGCATTAATACCCTTCTCCAACTTCTTTTACATCAATACACTTTTCCAACTTATTTTACATCAATACCCTTTTCCAACTTATTTTACATCAATACACTTTTCCAACTTATTTTTTTCTATATATACTTCTCTAACTTACATGCATATATAATCCCTTAGTTACTGTAGTTAAAATAACTAAGCACTGTTTGATCTTAACTCAAGTTAATCCATGTCATTTATCCCGGCTTGTCCTACTACTAATTAATCATCTTGGGCTGTTCCATCATAACAACAGGCAAACCCCCTGTGTTGTTTTAACTAAGTGTAGAAGTTTTGGCATGTAGAAGTTTTGAGAGATAAACATTAGTAATCTGCCACACCAATAACAACAATTACCTGAGCTGGATAACCGTTTAAAAGGTAAAAAGTAAAGTTGGCAAGTTTAAGCCTGCCCAGCACGGTTCACTTTATGATACTTCTGTTAAATTGTCCTATCTGTATCTGCAGCCACTCACGATGTATTCTTGGTGTTTGTGACGTTCCTCATTCAATCTCTCTTCTGTTCTAAAATCCATCATCTGCAGCTGGGCCTCAAGGTCATGAACTCTGAAACATTCACTTGTACAGCTGGAGATCAAAGGAATAAGCATATACTCCGAAACGTTGTGTTCCTCATAATAAAGAAGTTGACATCCATATATTCTCTTCCGTAACCTATCTATACTTGCTTTTTTAAACATCTCCTGTTTTAAGATAACAAGAATGTAGACATTCAAAAGTCATTGTTTTAATTTAATGTGTACCCATAGTTGCTTTGATTTATCAAACCATGTAAATAGATTAATGCTTGAATAATGAATCTATTTAACAAATTGTTATAAATCAAAGCTACATGTACAGTGTATGAAAGACAATTTTAATGATCTACAAAAGCTAATACAGTATTGATATTGATACAATTCTATGAATACTAAGTAACCACCATTACATCAGGAGCAATCCTACCAACTTCACCAATATACCTGCATCTAGGATGTTGGTTATTAAAGGAAGTGAGTTCTCCTGCCTTGCGTGGGCACTCATTTAAAGATGCTACTGAATAGACAACAGCTTATAGATGACTAGCAGTGAAGGGGACATCTAAAGATCAGGGCCTAGATTTTCGAAACTGTCGTAGCCCTAAAATTACCGTAAATTTATCGTAAGGAAATTGTAGGCTATTGTAGCATATTTTCGAAACTACCGTAGCCCTAAGATATCTTAAGATTGTCGTAAATCTAAGATAGCCCCATACCTGTTGTAAGTTTATTTTATCTTCATCCAAGATGGCAGCATACTTTTCCATAGATATTTTGCCAAACAATTAGTCTGCCTTACGTTCAAACATTGACATTTCATTTTGTAAAACTGAGTGATTCAAATTGACACTTCGAAAACACGATGAACGCATCAAGGATTTCACGTCAAAAATGTTCTTAATCGTGACAGCGATCCACATAACTGTAGAGTCAATAGCTTACAATATATTTCTATCCGAGTCCATGCTGAAGAAGTGTGAAACAACATACCTTTTCAATAATTTTGGAAGGATAAAAACGGAAGATTTCAGCAGGCTTCAGTAATGACCGTGACCTTATTCATAACTCAAGGGGAGCTAATCTTAGTTCAAACTCTAGTTGAGAGTGGTTTCCCTTTGTATTCGCCCGGGACACCTTGCTCGATGTTACAGTTTTCATAAAGCGCAGAGTTCCGCTGTTATATTTTCTGGATCGCATTTGTGTCAATGCTTTAGTCTTTATTTTCGCATTTTATAAAATTATATCAATCTACATATGTAAAAAAAACCATAAAGGTTTCGCATAAGTTTTTACATCTAAAATCGTGTGGGACGGGTGGTTTTAATAATTGAATTTTAACTATACAGTGTAGTATTTATTGACTTAACCAGGAACTACATGTGATCAAATATTTGTATACAATATTTAATATTTTCATGCAAAAGTAATTGTAATTTGTTTCGTTTTAAATTCAATACCTATGTTATCTATATCCACTTGAAAGACAAATATTTGATAAAAAGTGATTAAAAAGTGTCTGTTGAACAATTGCATTCTTTAAAAACAGGTCCAAATTCACTTTCCAATATATGTTCGCAGAAAAAAAAGTTTATTGAATGAAATTTACTGATCAATATAAAATACACATTTTCAACACAATAATCTTTGCATTCAATAAATTGGTTTTCAAATATTTTGGTCCTTTTAATATTTAAGTCTACATCTTCCTGTTTCATGTTTAAAAAATATATAGATATACTTGAGACCATTCAGACAATAAAATCGTTGTAACGCATAGGGTCAACAGACAAATACTAGTAAATGATCCTCAGCAATGCTGTCAGACAAGCCAAACATCACTGAACTACGTTCTTGAATAGATTTGACACATTACAAAGTATTTTGCTCCTCAGCCAGATTTAAATGAAATCAGACAAATCAGTTTATTAGCTCTACTTAATTTAAAAGGATAGAAAATGACTACATTATATGTATGTTCACGTTAACTTGTGGCGTGTTCCATGAGACAACATAACTTGACAATCCCTAAATTATCTCTCTTGAAAATTAGTGTCACTTTTAAATTTTGATAATAATTATGGATCTAGATAGATAAAAAAATGATTTCATCATCTAAATACTAATAGCTTGATATTGTATTTAGGTCCTTGGTTAATTCGTGAAATATATTCGATACATAAATAACAAAACAAACTTAACAAGCTTAGGTTGTTATAAAAACTTGCTTGTGGGTACGCTGCTTCCTGAACAATTTTTGTTTTGAGTGTTTCCACGTATAATGTTGGTGTTTACACTAATATAAACTTGACTTTTGACATAAACACAAACATATACAGTATACATCACTTAACATCAGACTTGAACACGCATGTTAAAAGCTGAACGCATATGCAGTTCGATCAAAGGTCTTGTCATTGTCATTTAGAATAACGTCTCTTACTTTCGTCCTTGACTTTGTACGCGATGTGTTTATATCATACAGTTCTGCACGCTCACGAGAGGACCGTTTGAAGGGAAAAAAGTGAAGTATCTTTTCGCACATTATTTCAATTCTAATAGCTAAAGTGTGGTAACACTACACTTATTGATTATAACATTTATTGGTTTTGAAAAATGCTATTGCATGGCACACGAATGTTATTTGTGTTCGGGTAGTCATGGCATCGTTTATCATAAGAAGAAAACGTCTACATGTAGGATTGTACAGAATTTCACTCAAATATGTGCATGTTAAACAATGTGACCTGACAATGTGGTCATGAATTCACTGTCACTCATATATGTTGTTGTTATTGTCAGCAGCTTGGAAATCCCAGTGACATCATTTGGAAACACCCCGATTTTTCAATCTCTAACACAAATGAGTTCTCTGTCAGAGTTACGATATCGTATGGTATCGTAACTCTGAACGATCTGCGACAGGTTTAGGATAGTTTCGAAAATCTATCTTATCTTAACCTTAAGATATCTTATATTTGAATGTAAGTTGTTAAGATATATCTTAGCTAAGATCGTTTCGAAAATCTAGGCCCTGAAGATTTTATGATGTGAGGTCAGCCAAAATATGGATTAGTGGCTATGATGTAAAAGACGTAGGGTAATTGAAGGAATTACTTTTATTATATTAATAGCCGATTGCCAGTCATACATAAAATTTGTATGGGTAATTCAATTTTTACTTCAATAAACATTCAAACTAAAAGGTAGTACTATAAAAGGTTAGCTCTGTTATAAAATAGAGCAATAACTGCTGACACAATGGGTTTATGGAAAATGAAAGTAATAAATTTAGTAGTTTTCAATATCCAAACTGAGATACTTATATTTGATCTTGTATTGAAATAGGTATTATAGTGAAAATGGCAAAGATACTTTTTGGAATGACATTCACTGTATCTGTAGGGCAATGTTGAAACATTTATATTTGCATCATTTTAAGGATACTTTACTTAGGGATGTACATGATAATACTTGCCAACATAATCAAATGAAACACATGTGAAAAAAAGAATATTAACTTGTCAACTATACTCTTTTACAGACTACAGCCAGAACATTTAACCAATAAACGGATGATATAATCAAGGTCACATTAAAAATGTCCTGTGATACAAAAACAATGGGCAGTAGTAAAATCAGAATTCAAAAAAACTTCGAAGAATACCTGTTCTACATGGTTACAGTCACTTACTTTGATTTTAGAGAAGAATTTTCCTTTTTCAAAGTAGAGTGTGTGGTAAGTTGATTGTCAGATAACTTGTGAATTTGGGATTCTAGATACTTCATCTGTGAGTAAAGAAGAAAGAAGTATTTTAACTCATATAACTTTTGACAACTGTCTGGTTGAAGATAAAAAGATTAGACAAAACTGGTTTTGATGTTTCATTTCTATAAGGTTTCTTGAAATGTATGTGTGTGATGCTATGTTAAACATTGAAGTAAAGATATAATTCATGTGAGACATGTTACAACTGAGTTAAAAGCTTAGTTACAACTTAATAAATAATAACATAAACATTTAAACATTTCAAAGGTTAAACAAATAGTGCCACAGCACTATACCTCACTGGGGCATGTACTCAACAATTACAATGTCAACAAAGACAAAGCTGTCAGCATTGATAGTCAAATATTTTCTGCATAAATACTGAGGTCTATCAACTGACACAAAAATCTCATGATCTTAAAAATACTTGATGTCATCATCAGGAGAAATACACTGATGGAAATGAATAAGGAATACTTAGTTTTAGACACAGTAAAATGACATGCTTCCATGGGTTCCCAGCTTTGTCTACCAAACAATGAACAGAAACACATCTCAACAGTAGATTTGGCATGTGCAAACCATGATGTAATGGGTATAAAGACATACATGCTTGCTGAGCCATTCATGGACAAAAGAGTAAAGGCTATAACACATCCACTACAATGCTAACACAGTACATGACAGTTGGGCAAAAATGACAGACGATCGGAAGAGACTGGGTGATGTGTCAATTTGCCAAACAGCTAGGGACATGCAGAGTTCAGAGAGTCACGATGTCAAAGTGCTCCCCTGGCCCGCCAAGAGTCCAGACATTAGTCCCATTGAACATCTCAGGGATCTCATTGGTCTCGCAAGCTCGGAGGTTCACATGAAAGTTTAACCAGCGCTTTTAAATCGTTCACACTTCAATGAACCCATCCAAACTGACGTTCAATTCTTATAATTTCATACTTTGTAGTTTACTGTTTCGCCGAATAATATCGTAACAATGTTTGCTTAAATTTGAAGTCCTCTGGTTTCATCGAAGAACATTGCAACAATGTTATATTGTCGGTATTTGCTGGCTCTCGGTCGTATACGTTTCCCCACTCATACTCAGTTACGCAAAGAAAAATAGTTCTTTGAATATATACAACATAATCTTGAAATGAGTCAACATAATTTCATTCTCTGAACAAATTTACAAACAATATTTGGGATAAATCAAATCTTAAAAATAGGTTACAGGAAGTTGAACAAAAATATAAACATGACCTCGATGCACCGAGGCGAGGTCAACCTTCAAGCGCGGATTTATATATGACGTCACATAAGTTTGTAAAGAGGTGCATTTCGAGTCGAACGGGAGCATGAGGATGAAATTTATACATACTGCTGTTGAAAATGACGTTTATGGAGTAGTTATGGAAAACACCCCGACGCGTGAACCCTCTCAACGGCACTAGCAAATTGGGAATATCACCGATTTATGAATGTGTTGCTTGTGTTTGGATAATCGCAAACCAATTCGGACGATGCAGAATGGACTGGTGGGAATTGAACCGAGTGCTCTGAAACTTGTGTGTTTTCTGTTAATTTTCAACGTCAGGGTGTGTTGTATTTGGACTTTGGGATTTGTCACGTGTGCTGTAATACTTTGCTTAGCTGGTGTTTCTTGTCACCCCGAGATGGACCTACTGTATGACCTGATGCCAGCTTCATTACTGTGCCCCGTCACTCCTTATGTGCCGCTGCTTCTCGGCCTAGAATGCACGGAGAAGGTCGGCCAACTCAGAAATCGGAATAGTAGATTTCTAATTCTGTCTACGGATATTTTCTCGTCTCCGATGACCAATCGATAAAAGAGGTAGGCAAGTTTTTTGTTTTTTTAAATTTAAGTTTCATTCCTTACCTTTTTATGTTTTCTCAAAATCTTAGATTATTTTCCCGATACGATAGTAAATCGGAGTTTAGTTTGGGATTGATCAGGAGGACTCCATCAGGAGCAGTCGCGTTTGCTCTGTACGTGTCAGCGGCCACATCTGAGCAGGGTACGAAATTGTTTTCATTGGTGCTAGATTCCTGTCATTTCCGAAAACAAGGCATCAAAGTCAGTATCGCTCAATAAATCAATTTCGTTCACCATTCATTTTACAGAATTAATTTTCTTCACTTGCGTTATTAGTATTGAAAGATATAGCCATTCCATATCCAAATCACTGCAAGGACAATCCATTTTGTTTCATGTAGCAGTTAGATGACATCAATCACCAGAACCAAAGCATTTATTTATTTATAAGTCAGATGAAATGTTACAAGACCAGGCAAAAATACTAAATTAATTATGTTGCTGATAAATGCAGGAATTAAAAAGAAAATAGAAAAACGAGTTAATCGTACACACCGATCGAGAATTCGGGGAAACCCTGGAAAGTAGTTCCGGCAAAAGTTTACACGATCAATTTCACAAAAAATTGTTCACATCGTGTGAACTTTTTTTTGTCCGTTCACAGGTGTGTGAACCCCAAATATTAGATCACGTGACTACCCCTTCAGCCAATCAGCATGAAAGAAACAGTGTAAACTTCAAAGATGCATTTTGAGAAAAATTAAGAGCATGGTCAAAACAAGGTCTAAACTAAACTATGCAAGTTCCATGCCTCCACCTACCTTAATAAGAAAGTTAGAAACATGTCTAGTTTAATGAGGTTGACCCTCAAATGCAGCCAATCACATGATTGAATAGTTTCGTTGAAAACGTGTGTAAGCTCTTACAAACATGTCATCCAAACACAGGGGTTAGTTCTGTACGAAAAAAACTAGAACAACCATAAGAATTTCCATTCCAATGACATTAACCTTCAATGGTGACCGAAAACCTTACCACTTCAAAGCAACTATCTTGATGACCTCTAATGATCTGCATTATATATTATAATTTTTTACTATGTAAATAAGTTTCAATTTTGGATGTCATCACATTTTTTTTATCATAAGTAGTGCTCTTTCAATTACACAAACCACAAGTTAGGTAACAATTTAGAACTTGGAACTCGATATATTTTTTAAAAAAGATTTACAAATTTAGGAAAATAATTCTAGGTAATTAAGTTAAGACATAACAACAGGACTGAAAACGTATTACAGGATCATGATGCATGTGGAGTTGTTTGGTTACTACTGTTGACATGATCGGGTCAGTTTCATCGAAACAATGCTTTTGTTTGTAATTAATTTAACCAGACTTGCTATTTAAGAAACTGAGGGACTTGAAATGTCTTCCTTTTATCAACGAACAAAAATTAATGATCAAATGGAAAATGTGATGACATTAAAAAGAAATTATCGGACTGCATGCCGCTCATCGTGAAGTGCTTTGAATTAACAAGAGTCATCAGGAGATGAAAATATCTTCTCCCCAATATTTAATCTAGTTCAATTTGGCTACTTATACCAAACTTTTGGTTCATTGCTGTTGGATACCTTAAGTTCAGTGAAGAAAAAAATACAGCTGTTCAATATTTTTCAATATCCCAAATCATTAAAAGGCACCATGCCCAATTCACCACTAGACCAATCTGCATAGACAGTTTCATTAAAAATATTCATGTTTTTAGAGTTCTGATCCAGAAATGGAAAACGGACAGAGGACAGATGGACATACTGATCACTATATTCCACCCCCTACCCACCTCCACCCCACCTTATCAAAACAGGTGGATAAAAATCTTCAGATTTTCAACGGAAGTCTTCTTCACTGTCAACTATCGATAAGAAATTGTGAAAGAAACTAATACCGACTTATGTGCATGCGCGAGGCAGGAAAACCTCCCTTCATTCCAATACTCACAACTATATGCAACTATTTGCAGATTATTGGGGAAGCGTGTGGGGTTACTCCTGATGTAATAGAGGTACTCTATAAATTATTATGCTTTAATTATATCATCAACCAGAAATGGACATCTTGATTGCCTTATTGTTAGTGTTACCACAGTCACCTCCTTGTTCTTACACACAGCCCCATTACTACACCTTCATTGTACTTTATTGGCATTTCCCCCGTTAATTCATCGGCCTTGTCATTATATTGTAATTGATGTACATTAATCCTACTTGTGTAAGCATATCATCGAATATGGGGTATACATATATCTCACTTCGTTTTGATGTCATCCCTTCAGGTCTCTTGATCCCACCCCATTACCTTCTAAGTGTGTCCTCTGCCATTAACCAGTGCCTGCCAGGTCCTGGTACTAGACGACAAATATGGTACAAATGGTTACGTTACCTCCCCAGGCTGCTGTTTACTAACCATGATCTCGATCTCCGAAGAGCTCTGCTCGTGAGAGACCACTGGGGAAAGGCGTGAGCAAATGGACACGTTCAATCTATGGACAATGCATAAACTTGGAGTGCAAGAAGATCTGGTAGCGGACTTACATATACAGGGACCTTGTTGTTGAGACATGGGGAGGTCCAGATCAGGTGTTCCAAACTGATGTTATCCAGCGAAATACTTAAGTGTGTTCACTATTCTCCTCCGATGTGACAGACTCAATACGATGTTAAATTTCCCTGGACGTGATAGACTTACTAAGATGTTAAATTTCCCAGGGTGTGACAGACTTAATAAGATGTTAAATGTCTCAGGATGTGATTGGCTTACTAAGATGTTAAATTTCCCAGGATGTGACAGACTTACTAAGATGTTAAATGTCTCAGGTTGTGGTTGGCTTACTAAGATGTTAAATTTCCCAGCATGTGACAGAATTACTAAGATCTTAAATGTCTCAGGATGTGATTGGCTTACTAAGATGTTAAATTTCCCAGGATGTGATAGATTTACTAAGATGTTAAATTTCCCAGGGTGTGATTGGCTTACTAAGATGTTAAATTTCCCAGGATGTGACAGACTTACTAAGATGTTAAATGTCTCAGGTTGTGGTTGGCTTACTAAGATGTTAAATTTCCCAGGATGTGACAGACTTACTAAGATGTTAAATGTCTCAGGTTGTGGTTGGCTTACTAAGATGTTAAATTTCCCAGCATGTGACAGAATTACTAAGATCTTAAATGTCTCAGGATGTGATTGGCTTACTAAGATGTTAAATTTCCCAGGATGTGATAGATTTACTAAGATGTTAAATGTCTCAGGTTGTGGTTGGCTTACTAAGATGTTAAATTTCCCAGGATGTGACAGACTTACTAAGATGTTAAATGTCTCAGGTTGTGGTTGGCTTACTAAGATGTTAAATTTCCCAGCATGTGACAGAATTACTAAGATGTTAAATGTCTCAGGGTGTGATTGGCTTACTAAGATGTTAAATTTCCCAGGATGTGACAGACTTACTAAGATGTTAAATTTCCCAGGATGTGAAAGACTTACTAAGATGTTAAATTTCCACGTATGTGTCTGGCTTTTATTCTGCAACTGATAGAGTCTAACAAGGCAAACAACTGTGCAAATTCACGCATCAATCCATTGTCATGGTGACTGATTTACGACACCCATTGTCTAAAGAACATTTAATTGCAACGGCTCATTACCCTGGAGCCATGACATCTATATGCCTTGAAACATTTAATTGCGGTCGATGTACACAAAAATGGGGATTAACAAATAGGATTAGCATCTAATAAATAACAGCAATTAAATGTTTCAAGGGATCTGCCAAACCCTCAAAGTCTGGACGATCATTTGTAAGTCGTGGCTAACGACTTTCACTTGGTTGACATTCAATGAGGATTTGCAGATTTTATTGTTTTCAGTAGCTAGTCGTATATTGAATCTTGATTGACCGCCATTTTGCTTTCTGTGACGATCGATATCATTTTTTTATGGTCAATAATTAAGTACAGATGAAAAAAGTATTCAAATAACTATTCCTGTCAACGATATTTTAGTATTTGTTTTTTTATTATCTGTCTTGTTTTTAAATAATCTTTAGTTTAAAAAAAACACTTTTCCCGTGAGGTCACGTGATAACCAAATATGGGATAATAGTCTCGATCCAAATGTTACAACGCGTACACTTGAGCAGACTCATGAATATAACTCATGAATATTAATTAGACCATTCACTACGTTAACAGATCGTTATTATAACAGAAACAAACGTATGTTTTCCATGTATATCTAAAATGATATTATTTGTCATTAATTGTCCGGTGAATTAACAATTTAAATTGAAACAATTCATAATTCATCATATTATCAATACGTAAAAACTTCCAATGTGTGAAAAGTCGTCCTAAAATACGCAATTTGAAGGGGGCGTGGCCTAAATGCAAATGTCCGATTGGGATTTTAAATTTTCCGGACCCCTGCTTTAGGGCATACTTAATCACACATGCTTGACCAAAATTATAAAATGACAGGCAAAATCAGCCCCCAAACGAAAAATTCCCCTACTTCGGGGAATGCTCTTACTGGGTTAACATAGTGCTGCACAATTTCAACTATCATGATGATAGTGACGACGACCAGTATACCTGCTTCTGCCTCTGATTTTGTAATACATGTCATTTTTCTGTCTGCTCATCCATTTGATTACAGTGTCCACAACTTATGTAACCTTAGTCACAAAACTGATGATGCCTTCAGATGTTTATTCAGGGAATAATCCCTGACAGGCATTTACTGTGTGGAATAGAGCCGAGGTCAGCTGGTTTTTTAGTACCTAAAAAGGATGTCAGTATTAAAACGCTAGTTACAGATTGTTAATATGATAATTTAATATTGTGGTTTGTGCAAATTCAACGTATTTTGTTTTCTACTTACTACATGCATGTCCAGTGTATTATAAAATTTATTCACATGTACGTGTTTATGTTACTCTACAACTATCCCTCGTAAGGTTTCAAATTCCCCCTCTGCGCATGCGCACAGGAGCCTATTTACCCATAAGCCCCGTGTCTCTCCATTCCTCTCCCAAAGCTAGAAGGACAACAAGACTTGCTACAAAAATTGCCATACCCGCCAGCCCACCCTCTCTACACCGGCTTAGGTCTTCACCTTTGATTGGCCTTTCATTGGCCAGGCTATTTCCACTCATCTAGAGTGTCGGCAGCGGCCCCAGGACCCTCACCTAGCCTCGGTCGTTCCTTCTCCTTGTAATAAGCTACCACCAGAGCTCAGGTCGCAGCCTCGGTCCGCAGACCACCGTCCGAGCCGCCGCAGCGGCCCCAGGACCCTCACTTAGCTCTCAGTCGTTCTTTCTCCTTGTAATAAGCTATCACCAGAGCTCAGGTCGCAGCCCTGGTCCGCAGACCACTTTCCGAGCCACCGCAGCGGCCCCAGGACTCTTACCTATCTCTCAGTCAGTGATAAGAATCAGTCAGCTCCCAAGTTCGTGCCAAAACCATTATGATGTATGTGTTTGTTATCATGTATATTAAATATTTTGCATTCTATCTCATTGCTTGTTGTGTTTTCACAAATGGTATCTTAGTCGTTCCAAATGTCAAGATCAAAGGTCCTTTCACACATTCAACAAAGTATGCAATGTTGATATTTTTGTAGGATAAACAGAAATAGCAGAAAAAGTATATGTATAACAGCAAGAATCATGAGACAGATAAATGCGGAAAACGTAACAGCCATGAAACGGCAGTGCCCGTAGCCTCAAGGCCATGCCCCCAGATAGGTTTGTTTTTCTAAGCCGATTACAGAGCGTCTGATTTCATCACTTTCACATGGTCTTTTAATTACTTTCTACGAATATTATGAATTTCTCTCTCTCGGAAATTGACTAAATGTATCTAGGAATGAGTCTTGAACCATGATAAAAAATTCCTTATGGATTCCGCAATGGACAATCATGTGTTCAGTTTCTATGAAGGCGGGGGTAACTTGTCATCACTTTGCAGCTTAGTAATTCCCTCATTTGCTTGGTTGACAAGAAGTAAACCACAATAGGCCATGGCAGCATCCAAAGAGGACTTTTGTTGAAAATTTAAAGATGTTTATAGTGGAAATACAACCAACATACAGCATATATGGCAATGGTGTAACAGAGGTGGTATTTGGAGAATTATAAGAAATTTTATGATAAAACATTACTTGACATGATGATTTTTTACCATTTGAATTGTATTGCTTGTATTCAAAGAATTTTAAAGCAATGATCGCAAGAAACTTTACTGTCACATCAAATCACATTCCTGATCGTCACCCTGGCTTACAAAGTTTTTTGAAGCTATAAGGGGGAGGCAGGTCTGAGAGGGGAGGACCTTTAGATGTGGTAATGCAGGATAAGTACACAAATGTAAAAAATATTTATATTTTACTAAAAAAAATTCTCATCCTGCATTACTCCTTCATGCATCTGTATCAGACGGTTTGCTGGTGGGTTTACCTTTAGATGTTAAAACTCAATATATATAATCCCTTCAAACAATATGTTGTTTAGGAAACTGTATGGCAAAAACAAAGAGCTGGATGGGTGGGCTGGTTCAGTCTAATTTACAGAAAGAACATGAGAATTGAGGACAAGTCCATATAAACAAACAGTAAAAAAGAATATTAGTGTAAGCTAAAATCTTTACAAACTGTGTTACCAAGCCAAAGCTGAAAACTTGAAAATCCCCCGAACTGGCGTGTCAAATAAACACTGCACGAGACGGGACCTCAATAAATATAAACCCTTCAAGCGACACGCGTGTCAAGGAAACCGTATGGCGTAACAAGTGCAGAACAGTTATACTTGTTCAATCTTATCTCTCAGAGAGAAATGAGTATAAGTCCAGGTAAACAAACAGTAAGAAGAAAATAGCGCAAGCTAAACTCAAAGAACGGAGTTACTGAACCAAGACTATGAGCCTGATAATCCCCCTAACGGGCATGTCAGAACAATGCATGAGTTGGGTAAGACTGGCTCTGGACAGAAGGAGTTCATTATTTGTGTCAGGGTTTGCTCAGCTGCTGGGCTACTGCCAAAGGGCCAAAGCTACAAATGCCTTTGACGTCTTCACGTGCCACATCTCTTAGATAATGGCTAGCTAAGACAGTGTCAGACCTCCAAAAACATCCTTCCATGATTGCTCTGATAGAACAGTTGCTATGCAGAACCATGGTTGAGGCGATCGCTCTAATCTCGAGAGGAATATTCCCTCACAGAAAATCAGTGTTAACGATTCCATACGTGTGGCAGGATGACTGTGCATAAACCATAGTGATATGTTGTTGCAACTGACTTCGAACGTGGCATCTCTTTTTTTCGCTTCGTCAAACCAATCAAGCTCGGGTAGAGATTGAATAAGGTAAGAATGAGAAGAGGAATTGATCAACAATACCCATTTATCACACAGGTCTTCAATCAACTTCTGAGACATCACATGCATAAGACAGAGGTGAGCAGGTAGACGATCGGGACACAATTTAAACAAATGGACGCACCGGATGATGGCTGCTATTGACGTAGACCTAAGTCCCAACAAACAAGTATATGTACCCTCCCTCTGGGTGCTTGCCTGGGCAGTAGAATTATTGCAGGAGAATTATTGCAGGATATATGTTCCTCTGATGAGGAAGGCAAAGTCTGTTCCAGCCGCTGGCAAGGTGATGGCTTTGATTTTCTGGGATTCCAAAGCAATCCTACTGGTGGACTACCTCCCGAATGATCAGACCGTTAATGACCAATATAATGGTCACCTACCTGCTTTGGCAACAATGTGAGAATGTCAAGGTTGATGGAAAATTCACTAAAGGGGTGGTGGTCAAATCATGGCAAAAGCTTAAAGCATTCCCATTTACATGGGAATGTCTGAGTACTGGCACACATAATAATCTGTCCATAATTTAACAAAAGACAATAAGCACTTACCCGGTCATCTATATTTTGAAAGTTGCCATCAATGTCGTCGTAGACTATATCTGACCCAAAGCTGCTTCTCCTTGTACTGTTAGGAGAATGAGAATCTCGTTGAAGCTGCCTGCACAAACATCAAATAAATTATTGACGATACTGTGAACTGTTTTGCTAGAAAGCTTTGAAATAACAACTACTTAACATGAGCTGGAATCAAATTGAAACCAATAATTATTATATTCTCTATACATACACAGCAGTTACATTTGCCTTTACACAAAGGGGTTTCATTGATGAGATCAATTGTTTTAATATGACACATTTATTTTCCAACTGTTTCAAATCCCATAATGGATACAACATTCCCAAACATTATCGAAATATCTGAGAAGATGAGTCACAAATAAGAACAGTATTAGCACTACATGCAAAAGCAGAGATACATCATTATCTCTTCTTAAACATGACAAAATGTGCAGTTGTGTATTTCTTTTGTATGTAATATCATAGTGCTCACATAAATATAATTACTTCAGAAAAAGCATATAGTTTTGAAAGTTAATGTTATTTTAAGAGCTGTTAAGCTAAAACCCTGCAGCCATGTCAGTGTTGTAAGGAAAACTCATTCATGTGCTGCTCCAGCGCAAGATGGAAGTAACTGGTTTCATGAAATTTTCTAGCGACAGCATTAACCGGTATCATGGCACCACTTGCTTAGCATTATCACAAACTTATTCTCGGAGCTCACTTTCAAGCACATAACCATGTCCAGCTGAAACAATTCACCTTGAAATTTATTGAATATTTCAGATCACATAAATTGACATTCATACACAAAAGGAAACTTTCTAGTAGCATATAACATATGAACACACAAGGTTGCCCACTGCAGAGCCAGCATGTGGCTGTGTTTGCAAGAATCAGTGATGGATTCAATTGGAAACTAAAGATAAGAGCATGGGAAACAATATTGCAATAAATGATATATGTAATATTTATACATTGTTCCCTCGTTATTGCGGCCTTCAATATAGTGCTAACTCGGTTATAGAGTGCAGTAAACCATGGCTCCCAAAATGTACTTACATTTTTAACAAACTCAAGTTTCCCAATGACACAATATTTTCCCCCCATCTCAAAAAAACATTATCAGCTGATCACCGCGATCACGTAACACCGGAAATACCAGTCAACAAATCTGAACTGAAGTATGCAATTTAATCCTATTATTATATTTCTTTCCAAGGCAAGAGAGTTAGCTGACTTTGAAAGTGCAGTTTCCACCCATGCCGAACTAGGCTGGAATTCCTGGGCTCGATCGTAGCGCCACTAATGGCTATTACGAGTTATGTCCCTTCTATGCCTTTCCTATGGACTAATCAGATTCTACCTCTCGTATCACTTGCATTTGCTTCAAACCAAATGGTCCAACCCAGTCAAGATGATCTGATTGATAATCAAGATCTATATTGTGATAAAACGAGGGTTACGTCGCGAAGTGCATGAAATCACGTGAACACCTTGATTAAAAACATGAAAAGATTATGGAAATTTCTGTTGACAAAGAGTTGGTGGTGCAAATGCTTTGCAAATCCTGCAATCGACTGAAATCTGCATGACAGTTTACGAACCGGATTTCGATTTTGTTGCATGATTTTGATTGGACTATGCATAGACTCGTTAGTCCAGCCAAAATGTAACTCCATAATACCAGCCTAGTTCGGCAAGGGTGGGAACTGGACTTTTATAGTCAGTTAACTCCCTTGCCTCGGGAAGATGATTATTATAATATTTGGTTATAAAAAGGTGTTCATTGTTTATCTGGACTGATGTCTTCAATTTATTTTATTAATTTTATTAAAAATTTCATTCAATAATTACAATGTTTACAATAATTTCAGGAAAATCGTATGCAAAGTGATCGGTAGAGCGCACAACTCACCGTTATTAACAGCAACCATTATTAACAGATTACTGCTGTTGATGCCTTGAAACGAACTTTAGTTGCAAGAGAACGGATACACATATCATAAATGCCATCCCTTGACTCGTTGAAAGTCATATTTGAGGCAGTTTAACTATTAAATGTCAACATAATGTTTTCGCAACTGAATTACATGTATCGCGGGAAGTCCCTACCGTGACTGGTCAGATTGTTCCATACATAAAAATATTACCTGCATACCACCTGTACCAAAGTGCTATGCTTATGGTTCTTATAATTTTAAAGGGGCACTGATCTAAAGCAATTCCCCAGGACTGGTTGTTGCCTTTGTTATTGTTTTTCCCCCGTGAGTACCCGGATGATACGCAACGCAACTGAGCGTGACAAGAGACTGGGCTACCGTCTGCAAGGACAGCTGAATAAACGTGGAGGCAATATTTGTTTTACTCATTTTTGAACACTGATTGATTGACCGTGGTCTATAAATATTTCGACAAAGGGCGTTAATTAATTTCTTCAGCCTAAACAGACGAAAAGAACGGCGGAGCTCATCGGATGTCGTCATTTGGAAATACCCGATTGTTATAGTTTAATAATAAAAAAAAGTATCCATGCAGTAAAAGCATTTTCGGATTTCGGATTGCGTCGATAATACGATTGCTCACCCTTGTTGCCATCCATGTTTTCTGGTATAACCCTACAATTGTGTATTTGTCGCCATTCACTTGATGCTCAGTTAATGAATTTATTACAGGTATAATTGGTGGTAGCACCACTCAGAATACCTGACAAAGGTTCCCATTTGGCATTTATTGTGTCTGGGGTAATTATTCAATCTAAATCCATGTTTGAAGTGAGGTGAAATGTGTGTTATGTAATATGCACGTGGCAGCCCAGCAAGAGATGAATGATCAGTTGATTTACTTTTTTTGTAAATCAACGGATCGTTCCTAGTCATCAAAGGATTAACAGAAAATATGTTGATTGATTAATCACTGTTATCTTGCACAGTGGATATGTCAAAAGTGAGTGTTTACAAGTCTCGGTTTACTAAATCAAAGGGAATACACTCACATCATGGCGTGAAGTGCCGATGTACAAACAACAAACTTTGTTCAAAGGGTTAAGCGATAATACGTTGATTGATTGCTCATTGTTATCTAACTCAACGGATTATTTTAGGAACCGAGGACGTTATGAAAATAGTTGTCACGTGGGTTTTCTCAGCCGACCTTTGAGACTTGGCACCTATGTGAAACACCTGAAACAATCTAAGTGATCAGTTGAGAAACGAACATGGGTTATAATATCCCGAAACGATATATATATATTTTAAAATATTTGATTGTTAAGAGACATGTGACATCGAATAAGTTTCTTTGTTCAGCTGCAGACGTGTGGGATATTGTTCCTCCTTTGTGTGGATATTCACGGATACATTCCTCGAACAAGGAAGCTGTCTAAAATTATACATTATAAATTTGGTAGGTTGTAATTATGATATTTGCCTTTTGTTTTCCTTCATTTGCTGTAGCATTGGACAGATTCATTCTTGTTCCTCTACGTCTTGGTTGGGAAATTCTTTGATGTGTGATAGACATTGTTTTCACAAGTCGTTTCCTTTGTAAGCGTGTATATATTACAGTCAATTTGTAAAATGTGATTCTCTCAGGCAATTTATAAAACGTGTAAATATTTCAGTCATTTTGACTGAAAAATCTGTCCAGATTGACATAAATTGATTAAGACGATCAAAAGGGCCTAAAAACATCACAATAGAATATTATGTAGGATTAGAAGCCAAACAATATAAAAATGTACTTTTCATCGTACCATTTTCAGTCTCGTGGTGATGATATTAAACATAAAAATGTTTGGAATTCGTTGTCATAATAATACAGATGGACATATTTTTCAGTCAATTTGTAAAATAACTGAATATTCAGGCGTTTAATAAATTTCTTAAGTGAAAATTTTGCACCTTTTGACTGTAAAAATATAAACACAATAAAATAAGCAATGCTCAGGAGAAATATTTACTTTTTTACTAATTTGTGTTGAAAGTCAAAATAGTGTAAACAAAAATCGCACAATTACCAAGCAAGTGACATATCAAAACTTCGTCACCATTACTGATGCTACCCACAAAGATAACTATATTTCCTTATTATTTCCAAAACTGTATTTCATTTTGTTGATCAATGTTACCATACACCCTTATACTATCAATAAAAGTGACAAATGCGCTTACGAATTGCGCAGCACAGGTCGCGAACAAGTCTATGTTTCTGCTATATCATGCGGGTACTCACGAGGAAAAAAACAATAACAAAGGCAACAACCAGTCCAGGGGAATTGCTTTAGATCAGTGCCCCTTTAAATATATATAGTGAAAGCTGCAACTAAAAACATGATATTGGAATATATTATTCCTGATAAAATAATTATTTCAGGTACAATTTCTTCTGACCTTTGCTTCAAAATTATTACAAGTTGTATCATTGGGTACTTTTTGACAGAATCACCGGTAGATTGGGAGGAAACGTGTGCACAGGTGATTGCTTTTTTCGGCTCAGTTTACGAGAAAATACACATGGTAATCTTAATCTCTGTATATAAAACAATGCCTTTGAGAGCAGGAAATTCAACTTAAATGGTAAATAATCATGTCTAGTGATGTTTTATATCAAATTTCATCTTTTTATTGACCAAGTCTGTTATACCTGTTTATTCACCTTAATTCGCTGAATTGATATGATGTGGGGGGTTTTAAAACGCATATCAATACTTGATTAATCTTTTTCTACACTATAAATCATAAACAACTTCTATTCTAAACTTTTATGCCCCGGTCACACATTTTCGTCTTGCCGGATCCACTACAGATGGAAACTCATGGATGACCCCGGAAAAGACTATATCCGTGGTCCCCTACGGATGCACCACTGTTTGACTGCGGGATTTACGGATCAACCAAGGATAATGCAGAAAATGGGCTACTTGACAGCGGGGAGTGATACGGATTGCTACGGTTTGGTACGGTTTAGTACAAAATGACACGTGTCACGGCGTATGCACTGCGGATTCACAACAGTTCGCTATTATTGTAGTACGGGTTAGCACAAATTAGAACGGTCTGGCACGGATAAGTACGGACCCTCACTGAGCGCCACGGACCT